TCTTTTGTCATGACGTGCCATGTTGAAAACAAAGGCTCAAATGCTGAGGCACTGTACCCACACCTGATTGTCAAAGAAATAGATAAACCATTTCAAACACTTCAACATTCACAGGATAAAAGCACAGAGGGTGTTAATGTGAAAGTGCAACACTGCTGTATAGCTTAAAGGGAAGTGTGCACAGAAGAGTCAATTACTGCAAACAAGAGCAGCTTGCCCCTATTGTGAAATGGTGTTCCTCAAAAGTACCAGACATTACACTTTATTAACAACCAACCATTAATGAGCTGAATTGTTGTTTGAGTTCTGTGATGGTTACAGTAGAAACATCATGAAAAAGCACAGACGATACAAAAAACTTCTAGAACAAACTGCTGCAACTCTAATTAAGTGTCGCAGCAACCTTGCTGACACTGTGAAAAATATGTAAATGTTTTTGTTTATTACGATGCATGGACTAGATTTGTCAAAATATACAGAATGTTCCATAAGCACTAAGTTTTTAAAAAACTAATTCCGAGAGAATTTATTCAAATTGGAGGGTGTTTTATCCATTTTTTTTTTCATTTTCATCTTTTTTTAGTTTTTAATGTTGCTGTTTGAGCATGAAAAAGGTCTTCAAAGTTACGAAGCACAAAATCCTCTCCAAATGGAGTTATACTCTATCAGTAAGCACTGTTTCTAAACTCCCTGAAACACCTTGATTGTAGTCTTGAGATTTCTTCCGGGAATGTACTTACACATCACAATATTCCTTATTTCCCGACCAAGGCATACACCTTAAAAAAAAAATTAAAAAGGGGACGAGGCCTGGTTGAGTTACATAGTTGAAACTCGTGGTTATGGTAAGAGCAGTGACATTTCCGAAACACACTCGAAGCGGTTGACCAATCACAACATACTGGTCCAGTCGACGAATCAGAAGGAGGGGCTTCCAAACCAAACAGAGCGTTACTGACAGAGTGAGAAAAGAGGTGCTGCAACAATGTAAATTATGTGAATGATAATGTGTTTTTTTAACAATCAACGAAATCCTATTCTAGTAGACCCCTAAAACAAAATCGAGACTTTGTAATATGTCCTCTTTAACCATTCCCTATCTGACTCAGATGCTCTGTTCACAAACCCAGTGAACTGCCTACATTTTGAGGCATCATAAACATGCTCTCACTGCAAAGCCAATAAGGTATTGTCAATAGTCTTGTAAAAGGTCAGAACAAACACATTAGTGATCCCAAAGAACCAACACTGCTGGCAAAACTACTACAGCTGGGTAGAGCCTCGACATCATTCTTTAAATAGAAACACTTTGGGTTCTTGTCTCAAATGCTTTACATCAGAAGAGGTCCATGGTGACATATTATAAAACTTTGATTCATATCCACATGCAACAAGCTTAATGAGCTTTCACACATGCCACATCCACCCGCCAATCATCCAATTAAAGAGGTCTCCTGGCTTGGGCTCGGCGTGATGGCTCAATTGTGGGTTAGCAGGTGTCACAACTGGGTATGATTATCACCACTGGTAAATATTGATATGCCTATTTTGGTATATTTATAAATTGATGCTCATAGAGAATCAAATATGTTGTCACAAAATATAATATAACTATAGTTATAATTTATATGACTATAAAATGTATTATAATAATCTTCTTTAGTAATATAATATAATTTAATTTAATATCCATTTTTTAAAAAATCCTGAATATTAGGCAATATTATATTATATTATCAAAAAATCTTTTTACTTTTTGCAATGAGAAATTTCATCAGCAGCAAATTGTGGTTTGCACCACACATGCCACAGAAGTGACAAAACACTAGGGGGCGATCGTGAGAAGTGAGTGTGAGATGAACCCAATGAACCAGGATCATAAACTAGGATTTCCACAACACAAAACCCACAAATGTGACCCTGGATCACAAAACCAGTCACAAGCATGGGTATTTGTGTGGCAATAGCCAACAATTCATTGTATGGGTCAAAATTATGAATTTTTCTTTTATGCAAAAATCATTAGGATATTAAGTAAAGATCGTTTTCCATGAAGATATTTTGTAAATTTCCTACCATAAATATATAAAACATTTATTTCTGTGAGTGAATGCAGCACAATTGTGAACATAAATCACTTTAAAGGCAATTTTCACTATGTTTAGATTTTTTTTGAAACCCTCAGATTCCAGATTTTCAAATAGTTGTATTCCGGCCAAATATTGTCCTATCCTAACAAACCATACATCAATGGAAAGCTTATTTATTCAGCTTTCAGGTGATGTATATGTGTAAATCTGAAAATTGAACCATGTGACTGGTTTTGTGGTCCAGGGTCACACATGAGCAAAAACTAAATAATCAATCAATGGCCTTTGAGTTACCATGAAAACAACATATTCACAGAAACTCATACCAAAAATTCATCATGCCCCGTATATACATACTTCTAGATTGTCCTTAACCCAGCATATCTGCAGTCAGTTTTATATTTTTTTCTATAAACTCTGAGATTGCGTAAAAACCTGGCAGATCTCTTGTCCACCCACTTGGTGCCCAGTTTGGCTTATTCTTCCTGAAACACCCACAAGCCCATGCTGCTGTTCAAGCACCACAACTCCCACAGCTCTCAGAAGAGTGCAGAATATCCCCTCATGCTCCGCTGAAAATTATTGGCTGCCATAATCCTTATCTTTTAATGCAAATAAAAGCGAAGAAAGATTATTTCAAGTGACTTACATTTCACTTGTATAATTAAGTCTTGTAAACCCACACAAATTCCTCACACTTCATTCCTATATTTAGTTATCCTTAATTGTATAAACTGAATTTTAAAAAAAAGTTTAAGATATAGTGTGCGAGAATACGTTGCATAATAAAACCAATGCAATAATACGATTAAATAGAGTGAACAGTAACACAGACATCATTCTGTATTATTCTTGATATTTATTAGTTGCAGACTACCATTATCATTCCTTCCTTCCTGTTGCGTTTTATTGTATTTTTTTTTTTCATACAGGCTACCTATCCTAGGAAATAAGAGGGCCATATCTTGAATTGCTGCGCTTTGTAAGATGAGAGTGATCTGATAAGGCAAGGCCAGGAAAGGTAATCCATAGAACATCACAGAAAACAGCAGCTCTTCAGCGAAGTACAAAGAGAGAGCGGATGTTACATGCTGTCATTAGTTCTTTGAACCAGGAGTTCCATTAAACATCATTGGCAACAAGATTCAAAGATGAGCCCGGCAGTGTCTCAGATGATATGCTATGGTTTTACTAAGGAACAAGAGAGATATGATAGAAATATGAGGACACTAAAGCATAGAGTTGATAAAGGGGCTAAATTTATTATGAGGGAGGTGCATATCACATTTTATTTTAATAACAATCTTGGGGTAATATATGTCAAATAAATAATAAAAACAGCTATTTCTAGAAGATTGACATGTCTGGAGATTTCAACTTGCGATTGTAAACGTTTTAATGTCTTGAAAGTGCTAATCTTTTCTTTATGTATAAAGGGTTTAATCATTCATACAGTACAGCTCAAAAGTTTGGAAACATTACTGTTTTTAATGTTTTTGAATGACGCCTCTTATGCCTATCAAAACTGCATTTATTTGATCAAAAATGAAGAAAAAAACTGTGAAATATCATTACAATTTAAATTAATGGTTTAATATATTATTTATTTTTGTGATGCAAAGCTGAATTTTCTTCAGCCATTACTCCAGTCTTCAGTGTCACGTGATCCTTCCGAAATCATTAATATGCTGATTTGATTCTCAGTTATTATTAGTGTTGGAAACAGTTGTGCTGCTTAATTTTTTTTTTTTTTTTTTGGAACCTGCGAAACTTTTTCAGGATTTATTGATGAATAAAAAGTTAAAAAGAACAGCATATATTCAAAATAGAAATCGTTTCTAACAATAAGTCTTTACCATCACTTTTTAATAATGTAACACATCCTTGCTAAATAAAAGTATTATTTTCTTTTAAAAAAAACGGTATGTATATTGTTACAAAATATTTCTATTTTAAATAAATGATGTTTTTTTAACGTGTTATTCATCAAAGAATCCTGAGTATCACAGGTTATAAAATATATTAAGCAGAACAACAGCATATTCGAATGATTTCTGAAGGATCATGTGACACTGAAGAATGGAGTAATGGCTGATGAAAATTCAGCATTGCATCACAGAAATAAATTATATTTTAAAGTATATTAAAATAGAAAACCATTATTTTAAATTGTAATACTATTTCACAAAATTTACTTTTTTTTTCTTCTGTATTTTCGATCAAATAAATGCAGGCTTAATGAGCACAAGAGATTTCCTTCAAAAACTTTAAAATTAGTCTTTTTTTTTTTTTTTACTTTTGTGACCGGTATGCATACATAAATAAATAACCCTTTCAGTGCAAGAGAAGACGAACCAGAACGCTAATTTAAGTACATTATTAGTCTACTAATTGACGTTTACCGTGTGTGGGGGGCTTCAGTATTACAGCAGCACTGGGACCTGCTCAGCTCCTGAATCACATTTGATTCAGCCGGTCAGAGGATGGAGGCGAGGTGAAAACAGACCCCATTGGCTCCCGCTGCTCCATTTAAAGGAATCCAACTGATTCGTCGTTTTAGATCCTTCAGCATCTCATCAGAGGAACTTTAAACGTTGCCTATTTTCTGAAAATCTTCGAAGATTCGATTTGGAGCGTTGAACAACGTCTTTGAGTCACTTTTATACGTGAGAGAATCTCTTCAGTGATCGACGAACGATTTCAGAGCAGCAGAAAGCATTTTTCTTGCCTCACTGAAACAGCCTATTATAATAAAGAGAGCGATTTTCACACAAGGGATCTCCATAACATATTTAAAGGGTTACTTGGGGACTTTATTCCAGATCCAAGGGATGGAGACGTGAATGATTAACACTTTTACTGCCTAGCTGATCTCAAATTCCTCAAGCCATGGAAGGATGGGGGTAATAGGCTACGTAATATTTTTCCCACTATATGGAGAGTTCGCCATGCATGCGCTTTGGGAACCACTGCTGTAGGTAACTTTTACACCATGGATTTAGGAGGGCTTTCAACAAGTTTTAGGGCTCGTTTATCTTCTGGAACGTGATTCGAATTTATTCTGTGATTTGTTTGAGCTTATTAAGCAAACGGCTGCGGGAAAGACTTTGAAGAGGTTTTTATCATTCATTTATCGCACGATCCGGAGCAGATCCCGCTGGCTCTTATGGGAATTAAACACTCCTCCCGCTGTTTGCTCCTTAGGAGAAAAATGGCGGATACGGAAAGCACTGAGGTAAGCGACGTGGATTAACAGATCAAATAACGAGACAATTGTAATTAGCCTAATGTCAGTTACGAAGCCCCAGTAGATCATAACGTAGGCTACATTTAAAAGCAACATTGGGTTCGAGGTTTTGAGTTTTTATACCAGTGTGCGAATTATAATGACTGTTTAACGTGTGTAAACGAACTTCTGTTTATTTCGCGGCTCAATAGTTCTCTCGCGCAACACAAATTGTATTTTGCCATCACTTGCACACTGCACAGTTCACAGGTCATCTCAAATGTAGCTACTATTTTAAGGAAAACAATAACGTTTTTTTTTTTTTTAAGGAAATGAAAACCAGTAATTGGCTAATGTGCTAAATATTGACAGTAGCCTATTTGTGTTTTTTTCCTAACGGGAGGCGTCGGCGTACTGTTGCAATGGTTACCTCAGCATTCGCAATAAGCGTTTATTTTGCGCCTGGTGATGAGTAGCCTATGTAGCCTATATAACTTGTACGGTTATAGCCTACATTATTTGAAAACGCTGTTGAAAGGTACGCCTACACGAGTTTGTAAACACAGCCACGTGCGATATTAGGAGAGAACGTTTATTGTTTGCAAAGAAAGTCGGTTGCAATAGTTCTGTCTACGATTGTGTAGTCAAATGCTGCTTTGTGGTGGACAAATGGTTAAAGATCTGGGCAGGTTAACTCAGAGCCGATCCTCCCTATACGCACACTACGCAAGCTGCGTAGGGCCCCGCAAATTACTCAAGGCCCCGCCTCCCCCTCGCGTCAAAGCGCGTCAATCAAAGTTTACAACATCGATGAGATAATTAAGCGGAACTATCCTTCTGGTCACGAAAAGAGAAACTGAGAAACTGAGAGAAAAACACCATGTGAGTGAATTGCGGGAACAGCGATCAGGTAAACTTGTGTTCTCTCCTCTCCAAGTTTGATGTCAGCACAGAACAGAACAGTAAAGTTAAGTTGATGTGCATCTCTCTCTATCTGTCTGTCTCCAGCCCGATCTCATGAAAGCGCGTATTTATACCACAAATTTAATTTCTCGTGCCATTTATACGCCAAAAATAGTTTTTGCGCCATATGATACGCACTTTTTGGCGTGTAATATGCACGCACTCCACACCCCTAATCCTACCCAAGAGATTTACAGTGCGTAGCATATGCACGCAAAAAAAACATTTTTGGCGTATAAATAGCACGATGAATTAAATTCGTGGTAGGCTATAGATACGCACTTTCATGATATTACGTTTGATAATACAAAGGGCAACGGTTTTCGTTTATAAACTGCAGCTCGGAAAAGATAACCGCATCGCGCGTTAACATGAGTTCATATGCGCGTGCACGAAATGTAACGCGCACTTTCCAGAAAAAAAAAAATCTATGGGGACCAGTTACCAGTACAATATGGGCGTTATGGCACTCCTCATTAGGCGCTCACTTTAAAACAAGACAATGGTTATCAAGTCTCCAAATCAGAATAGTTACAACCCTGCAATAAAGCAAGATGGAAAGCAATCTATTGATATTGACTATTGCATTTAAAATGTTGATTGGCTGGACATACTGGTCAATATGGATGCACATCAATCAGTAAATAATAACCATTAAGTATCAATTATTGCTTTTATCATTTAAAACACAGTGACATGCAATGGCAAGCCATTTTAGCTTTTATTAATTCACAGGATGCATTTTTGATATCAATAATTAAATTTGTACTATTTAAAATGTGAATTATTGATATTAATATAAAATATGTCTATTTCTGATATCAGGAATTACATTTTCATTAGTACTAACTAAACGAGGGAGGATTGTAGTGGGAGAACTGGGGTGTCAGGTGTGACTGTGGCAATGGCAAATGGTTTACATGGCTCATGGGTCAGGTAGGAGGGCCCCTTAACAGATTTTTGCTTAGGGCCCCAGGGATGCCAGGATCGGCTCTGGGTTAACTTAACTACATAGCCTACCTTTGTGCAAATTCTGCAATCCATTTAGAAAGACATTTATCCACAAGTCTGCTCCAGAGGGATTGCACCTGTAATAGCTGCGTAGCAATGATTTGGTGCTACTTAAGAACCACTTTTCCTGGTTTGGAGCTGGTGCTTTGCGTGTGGAAAAACAAAGAACCGAATTGAAACTAGGCTCTGGCTCCGAACCAGCACCAGCTCTGCCTTGGTGGAAAAGGGGTGAGACACTTTTATAAAGCATAAGCTAATGACTAATTAGTGATTGATTTCGTAATTGTCTTGAGCAAAGCTCCTTGTGCTCTGCTAGAGTCTGGTCGCTGTCCTTGGTGCTGGACCTACGTCGATGAGCGCAGCTAAGATAATAGGAAATAAAGGGATAGATTATTCTGCCATCATTTACTCACCCTTAAGTTGTTCCAAACGTGTATGAGTTTCTTTCTTCTGCTGAACGCAAAAGAAAATATTTTGAAGAATGTTGATGGGCACCATTGACTTCCATAGTATTATCTCCATACTCATTGGTGCCCATCAGCTGTTTGGTTACCAGGGGTGATAACGTAACGAATTACAAATACTCACGTTACTGTAATTAAGTTTTTTTTTTTTTTTTTTTTTTTTTTTTTAGAAATTGTACTTTTTTGAGTAGTTTAATTGTGTAATTTTACTTTTACTTGAGTATACATTTTAAGTGATGTACCGGTACTTTTACTCCGCTATTTTCCGTGGTCGATACTCGTCACATGCTTATTTTATTTTATTTTATTTATTTATTTTTATCCATCAACGTGATTGGATCGAGCAAATCGTCGTCAAATCAAATTCTGCATAGGAAACTGTAACCGTTATCCTACTCCTGGCTGCTGTGGATGCTTCAAGCATCAATTCAATCGAGATATCAGCGTCTTCCTCGAATAGGTGGCCTACATTTCACATTTCTGCTCTCTAAATGATCTTTATATAGGCTAGCCTATCTACAGGGCCTGACATTTGGTGTGAGGTTGGGGGTATTGCGTACAGTGTAAACTCCCTCAAGTGCTACGTTCATAATATGTAAATGCGGTGAAATCCCGCTCCCATTTAGAGAGACGCGCGTCGCGATGTGTGCACTATTGCGTCTTTCCCTCGCGCTCGTCATGCAGCATCACTTGGAGAAGTCAGCAGCTCGTTGAGTCTTGAGGAGTTTAGTATGAGCACGCGATGCGTGCTGTGAAGGTGTGTTGGGGACAGTCTATAACTGTGGAAAAACACCTTCTGTACTGAAATTGGAGGACCAGATTCAGTATGTGCTGACCCATGGCGTTAACTTGAACTGCGTTTCTGTCAGTGCGTGATTACAGCTCGTTAATAAACAACGTGTTTTGATTGATCCATTTCATCCAATCCGCCTTCATTTATCAAGTCCACTTGTGCAAAAACATTTTTCAAGTTCAGCATTTTTGTTGTTGTTGTGGTTGTGTGGATGCTTGCTGCTGATAAAACAGCTTCGCCGAGACTACAGATACATGCATTTGTTTTTGTGTGTGTGTTTCTTTAGTAAAAGTTTCCCCGGATATACTTCCCTATTTAATGTACAATTTTCCTTACGAATATTATCAGCATTACAATTTGAGTAAATGTAGCTGTATAAAATGTAAGGGATGATGCCACCCTTCTAGAACAATGTGCATTTACGTTTAAATTGTAACATATTGAATGGCATGTAATTGCAGTGTAATTAGTTTTAGCTCACTCACTATCGTAGCCTGTTTCAGTGCATTGGGTGAGGTAAGTGATAATATTAGTGATTCTCATTTCTTTCTCAAACCACAAAAACTGGTACCGTTTTTGAGAGAAATGTTTTATTCTCTCTATTTAACCCATCTCATGGTGTGTGATGCTGAACTATCGTGTGAGTTTCTAAAGGTTTTTGAATTCTTTGCACAGTTATGAACATTGATATTTTGAGCCCGTTCTCATCCCAAGGCGTCATACATGTGACGCTTTGGACATTTCGTCGAAATCTTACGCACATGGCATCCTTTAGCGTCAATATGAGACGCAGAACCCAAGGCGTCATACAGGTCACCTATATGACGCCGAAGGATGAGAATGTGTTGGATATTTTATGTGCAACAATAGCATGACTAATGGTACTGTTTTGGTACTTTTACTTTAGTATGTTTTTTCAGCACTCTTTCCACCACTATTGGTTACCGATATTTTTCAAAATACTTATTTTGTGTTTACTAGCAGAAGAAAGAAACTCATACTGGTTTGGAACAACTTGAGGGTTGGTGAACTAAACCTTTAATTATTATACACAGATTTAGATTTTAAAAAAAAGTTAAATACTGTAAAAATATTAAATAATAAAGTAAAAAACATCTTTTATATTGCCCATATTAAAATAATTGCAGACTTAATTTATTGTATAAAATTACAACATACATGATATTTTGCCCTGAAATGTGACAACTTGCACTAACCTGACGTAACTTTTGGTCAAAATTGCCTTTCATTAGTTGAAACTTGCCTGAATGTAGCCCACCCACTGTTGCAAACTTATTGATGCCCCTTATTTAATCAAGGATTGACTTTGGTGAAAACAACATAGATAGCATTTATTCAATTGCACTTGTTTTATTGACCCGAAACCTTATTGTTACTGAAATACTGAGATTTTGCAAGCTTGGAAATGATTGCATTACAGCTTTGGAATAACTTTGTGTGTCCATAAAGGAAGACACAACATCTTAACATATTATCATCTTAAAATTGAAATTGGCCCTGAGCCCACTCCTGTGAGCACTTCTACTTGAGTGTCCCATTACAGCATTTAGCCAGAGTTTTAGTTGAGGGCAGCGAATGTCAAAGAAGTCCGTTTGCAGTAGGGCAGAAAGCTAAAAATCGGAGTTATCAGGTTTTGGTTTCATTTTCCCTGTTCCCGTTTTTCCTGTGTTCCTGGTCGTTATTAGTTTCCATGGTTTCTGATTTATCACACACCTGTTTCTGTTCCAGTTGATTACCTCACTCTGTGTATTTAAGCCCTTAGTTCCTCTCAGTTTTTTGTTCAGTCTTGTTTATGTTAATGTGTAGTTTCCTAGTTGGTTTTCATATTCTCCTTGTTACTTTGACACTACTCAGAATCAGATTCATGCGTGTTCATCTACACGTTACAATACTGAGGTTGCAATCCAGTCCTGCCATTGAGCAAAACGCTTTGATGAATTCCAGTTTCATTAGTGGCCTTGAACTTAATGCAATCCTGAATGAGGGATTAGCCAGCTGGAATGTATTGACATAGTCATGGAAGCATGAAATCTAATCCATGTTCTTTAAAGGATGAAGAAAGGGGGCGAAGCTGTTGTTAAAAGTTCCTCGCAAAGTTCAGCGCAGCAGTAGGCCACCGCATAATGTCAAGGGATCTTTAAAACCCTCTGATAGATGCTGCCTGACCTCTGAAACCTCTCCCAAAATAGCAAAGACTGAAGACTGCTCTGCACTAGGGCTGTTAGTCAAATAGGGTTCCACAGAGAGTATGGTGTGTTTAGTGTAAGGTAGACTTTTAAAAGAAAAGTTTACTAAACAAATTATAATTCTGTCATCATTTTCTCTCCCTCGTGTCATTCCAAACCTGTATGACATTTTTTTATACTACAGAACACAAAAGAAGATATTTTGAAGAATGTTTTTGTTCACAATGAAAGTCAAATGGGTTCAAAACAACATTGAACATTTTTACTGAACAGTCAAAAAAAAAAAAAAAGACAATTTTCCACAAAAGAAAAAATAATAATACTTGGCATCAATGACATGAGAGTGAGAAAAAGACAGAATTTTCATTTTTGGGTGAACTACACTCTTAAAAATATTGGTTCTTAATTGGCTTCTATGGTTCCATAAAGAACTTTTAATATCCATGGAATCTTTTCATTGCACAAAATGTGCTTTATAGTGAAATAGGTTCTTCAGATTATTGAAATATTCTTAGAAAAAAAAATGGTTATTTTAAGAACTTAATTTAAGAAGAATAAGAATTTTAAGAAACCCCAAATGGTTCCTCTATTGCATTGCTGCAAAAACACTTTTTTGGAACATTCATTTTTTTTAAAAAGTGTATCCTTTTAAGTAATTGCCAATATCTGCATCTGGATGTTCTTGAATGACTATGAACTTGAATGCAGTCATTTGAGAGGTTTTACAGCCTTTTCAATAGAGATGTTGTTATGCTCTTCAAGGTCAGCAGTGGGTTTCAAAAGTATAAAGCTTACAGTTATGGTTCTTCCTTGAGAATACACCACTTAGCTCTGAAATGCACTCTAGCAGTTTCAGCCCTTTTACATTATGCCCAGCCAAAGCAGAGAGGGCTACCCATAAATCTGCAAAATTCATAAGAGCTGTTCTGAATACATTAATGATTTAGAAATGCAATGCAAAACAACTCTTAGGTTGTTCCCTGTCATAAAATAACACCAGAGAAAAGCTATGGCAGTTCTATTTGTGAAAGGATCCCAAGAGCACCTATTTTCCCCTTACACGCATCAATCCAGTTATGTCACGAAAAAACTATTAGAGTTCTCAAGAGCATGGTTGAAAGGTGGAATGTTGGCGAAATGTGCCATTTGTTGAGGTTAAAATTAGAATGTGAAATGAGATTTGTTAGCTGACTGGAGGGGCAAGGACATGAGTTCCCCTCTCCCGTCTTTCTAATAGATCCGAACACCTTTATGCCTCTTGATACAGCTGCTCTTCCCCTCTGCTGACACTCATTATTTGAAATCCCCTGAGCTAAAAGCCTGCACACACACATACCGATTTGCACATTAATGCACATACAAAGACATATCTTCACTATCACAAAATTGCAAAACATGAGAAATATATGAGAAAACATTATATGTAGGATATTAGCTCTAAACATTATGAGTTTTGTGCTTCTTTAAAGGACAAAAATGTTCTAGATCAGAGGTTTTCAACGTTTCCAGAGACAGGGGCCACTGGTCTCAGACTCTGGACCCCAAATGAAATAAAACAGTTGGATTTTCTTAGTTGTTTAATTTAAAGAAACTTTCTTTAAGTGTCTTAGTTCTTAATTACACTTTTTAATTGAATTAATATTTTACACATTCAAATTTTGTATGTATTATTATTATTTCATTATACATATATATGAAGACCTCCGATGCAAAAGCCTCTAAAAGCCACCTCTGTCAAAAATTTGATAATAATATTGAGTGAATGCTTTCTGCACATATATACTCATCAAATACTTTCACTTCAAACTCACCAAATCCCAGCCTCAGCCCATTCAGAAATGCCGGTATTTGGGTAGAAACCTATACATAGGAGCCTGATAAAAGTGTCAATATTAAACAAAAAATTTAGACGGACTTAGAGGCTTTTGCATCTGAAGTCTTCATATATATATATATATATATATATACACTCACCGCCCACTTTATTAGGTACACCTGTCCAACTGCTCGTTAACACTTAATTTCTAAGCAGCCAATCACATGGCGGCAACTCAGTGCATTTAGGCATGTAGACATGGTCAAGACAATCTCCTGCAGTTCAAACCGAGCATCAGTATGGGGAAGAAAGGTGATTTGAGTGACTTTGAACGTGGCATGATTGTTGGTGCCAGAAGGGCTGGTCTGAGTATTTCAGAAACTGCTAATCTACTGGGATTTTCACGCACAACCATCTCTAGGGTTTACAGAGAATGGTCCGAAAAAGAAAAAACATCCAGTGAGCGGCAGTTCTGTGGGCGGAAATGCCTTGTTGATGCCAGAGGTCAGAGGAGAATGGCCAGACTGGTTCGAGCTGATAGAAGGGCAACAGTGACTGAAATAACCACTCGTTACAACCGAGGTATGCAGCAAAGCATTTGTGAAGCCACAACACGCACAACCTTGAGGCGGATGGGCTACAACAGCAGAAGACTCCACCGGGTACCACTCATCTCCACTACAAATAGGAAAAAGAGGCTACAATTTGCAAGAGCTCACCAAAATTGAACAGTTGAAGACTGGAAAAATGTTGCCTGGTCTGATGAGTCTCGATTTCTGTTGAGACATTCAGATGTTAGAGTCAGAATTTGGCGTAAACAGAATGAGAACATGGAACCATCATGCCTTGTTACCACTGTGCAGGCTGGTGGTGGTGGTGTAATGGTGTGGGGGATGTTTTCCTGGCACACTTTAGGCCCCTTAGTGCCAATTGGGCATCGTTTAAATGCCACGGCCTACCTGAGCATTGTTTCTGACCATGTCCATCCCTTTATGGCCACCATGTACCCATCCTCTGATGGCTACTTCCACCATGTCACAAAGCTCTAATCATTTCAAATTGGTTTCTTGAACATGACAATGAGTTCACTGTACTAAAATGGCCTCCACAGTCACCAGATCTCAACCCAATAGAGCATCTTTGGGATGTGGTGGAACGGGAGATTCGCATCATGGATGTGCAGCCGACAAATCTGCGGCAACTGTGTGATGCCATCATGTCAATATGGACCAAACTCCCTGAGGAATGCTTCCAGCACCTTGTTGAATCTACGCCACGAAGAATCGAGGCAGTTCTGAAGGCAAAAGGGGGTCCAACCCGTTACTAGCATGGGGTACCTAATAAAGTGGCCGGTGAGTGTATATATATATATATATATATATATATATATATATATATGACATTAAATATATTAATATTTTATAACTTAATTTTCAATAACATTAGAAATTATGTATAATATAATTTATATATTTATAAATACTGTGTGTATATATATATATTGATTGATTGATTTGATTTTTATTTAAAAGGGACCATGTGCAATTAACCCATTTAATCCCAAATTTTTCCCAGACATAAAAATATCCAAATCATGTGTCATTAGTATCCCTTTGAAACAATCAATCATAATTTTTTTTAATTTTCTTGGAAAAGTGTGTGAAAAAGTGAGTTTTATGATCGGTCACAATTGTGACCGGTGGGATAATGTGTTGTATCAACCATTGGACAGACTGAATATAGGTCTATAGAACCTGTGCAGTGTGTTTGTGTGTGCATGTGCATGTGCGTGTGGGTGTGCGTGTGCGCGTGTGTGTGTGTGTGTGTGTGTGTGTGTGTGTGTGTGTGTGTGTGTGTGTGTGTGTGTGTGTGTATGTGTGTGGGGTTTGTGGTGTGCGTGCGTGCGTGTGGGGGGTGTCTGGTGTGTGTGTGTGTGGTGTGATGTGGGGTTTGTGGTGTGTGTGGGATGTGTGGTGTGTGTGTGGGGGGTGTGGTGTGTGTGGTTTGTGTGTGGGGTCTGTGGTGTGGGGTCTGTGGTGTGTGGTGTGCATGCGTGTGGGGTGTGCGGTGTGTGTGTGGGGTGTCTGGTTTGTGTGTGTGTGGGATCTGTGGTGTGTGGTGTGCCGGTCTGTGGTGTGTGGTGTGCATGCGTGTGGGGTGTGCGGTGTGTGTGTGGGGTCTGTGGTGTGTGGTGTGCGTGTGTGTGGGGTCTGTGGTGTGTGGTGTGCATGCGTGTGGGGTGTGTGGTTTGTGTGTGGGGTCTGTGGTGTGGTGTGCGTGGGGTTTGTGGTGTGTTTGCGTGTGGGGTGTGCGGTGTGCGGTGTGTGTGTGTGGGGTGTCTGGTTTGTGTGTGTGTGGGGTGTGTGGTGTGTGTGTGGGGTGTGTGGTGTGTGTGTGGGGTGTGTGTGGTGCGTGGGGTGTCCGGTGTCCGTCGGGTCTGTGGTGTGTGGTGTGCGTGCGTGTGCGGTGTGTGTGTGTGTGTGTGTGGGGTGTCTGGTGTGTGTGTGTGTGTGTGGGGGGTGTCTGGTGTGTGTGTGGGGGGGGTGTGCGTGTGTGTGGGATGTGTGGTGTGTGTGGGGGGGGGTGTGGTGTGTGTGTGGGGTGTGTGGTTTGTGTGTGGGGCCTGTGGTGTGGTGTGCGTGGGGTTTGTGGTGTGCGTGCGTGTGGGTTGTGCGGTGTGCGGTGTGTGTGTGTGGGGTGTCTGGTTTGTGTGTGTGGGGGGTGTGCGTGTGTGTGTGGGTGTGTGGTGTGTGTGTGGGATGTGTGGGGTGTGGGGTGTGTGGTGCGTGGGGTGTCCGGTGTCCGTCGGGTGTGTGGTGTGCGTGCGTGTGCGGTGTGTGTGTGTGTGGGGTGTCTGGTGTGTGTGTGTGTGGGGTGTCTGGTGTGTGTGTGGGGGGGGTGTGCGTGTGTGTGGGATGTGTGGTGTGTGTGTGGGGGGTGTGGTGTGTGTGTGGGGTGTGTGGTTTGTGTGTGGGGTCTGTGGTGTGGTGAGCGTGGGGTTTGTGGTGTGCGTGCGTGTGGGTTGTGCGGTGTGTGTGTGTGTGTGGGGGGGGTGTCTGTTTTGTGTGTGTGGGGGGTGTGCGTGTGTGTGTGGGGTGTGTGGTGTGTGGTGTGTGTGTGGGGTGTGTGGGGTGTGTGGTGTGTGTGTGGGGTGTGTGGTGCGTGGGGTGTCTGGTGTCCGTGGGGTCTGTGGTGTGGGGTGTGCGTGCGTGTGCGGTGTGCGTGCGTGTGCGGTGTGTGTGTGTGTGTGTGTGTGTGTGTGTGTGGGGTGTGCGTGTGTGTGGGGTGTGTGGTGTGTGGTGTGTGTGTGGGGTGTGTGGTGCGTGGGGTCTGTGGTGTGTGGTGCGCGTGTGTGTGGGGTGCGTGTGGGTTGTGTGGTGTACGTGTGTGTGGGGTGTGTGGTGTGTGCGGGGTGCGTGCGTGGAGTGTGTGGTGTGCGTGTGTGTGCCTACCTGTAATTGCGTGTGTGTGTGTGGAAAATTAGGTAGAATTAGTTAGCTAGCTAGTCTTTGTGTGTGTGTGTGTGTGTGTGCGTGTGTGTGTGTGTGTGTGTGTGTGTGTCTGTGTGTGTGTGTGTGTGTGTGTGTGTGTGTGTGTGTGTGTGTGTGTGTGTGTGTGTGTGTGTGTGTGTGTGTGTGTGTGTGTGTGTAAAATTAGGTAGAAAGTTAGGTAGCAGCAGAAAGTAAGGTAGAACAGTTAGCCTATGTGTATTAGCATGTAGATACAATGGGTTATCCCACCGGTCACTATTGTTGCCGGTGACATGTTTGTAAGTTCTATGACCACATTAAACAAAGTTAAGTAATTGCAAATGCATATATCAATACTAGACACCTTAAACATGATGTGTACCAAAAATCTAAGTCCTATCTTTATGTTAACATGCTTTACTGATCTTTTCTTTGGGAGCTTTCTTGCTGCCATCCTCTTCTCTTGGCACAAACAGGAAATAAACAGCTCTGGTCATGTGACAATTTACAGTAAACATGTGACACTGCACATATTTCATTGAGACCCTTTATTATTTCAATATCTGTTGGAAATGCACTGATAGATCATTCAGTAACATTTTTATAGCCTTAGAAATGAAACATTTTTTTACGGTCACTATTGTGACCGGTGGGATTAAATGGGTTAATAACATAAATGTAAACATTTGATGCATTACACCAGAGTTATATATATACAGTATATATGTGTGTGTGTGTGTGTGTGTGTGTGTGTGTGTGTGTGTGTGTGTGTGTGTGTGTGTGTGTGTGTGTGTGTGTGTGTGTGTGTGTGTGTGTGTGTGTGTGTGTGTGTGTGTCAAAGCTTCCAGTGGCTCAAATGGCCCGTTTATACCCGTTTGTTGTCTGTAATGTGGGATGATGGTTCCCTTTGAGGAAGGGCCAAGCTTCTCTGCAGGACGTAGAAGATCTAATCAGAGCCAGAGAGGCTCACCATATGTAATACTTGTCTTAAGTCCTTTCCACGGCAATCTAACTGTCCTGCACTCCCTTTGCTCTTAAGGCACAATCCACCTCTGCCAGGTCTCAGAAATCTGACAGACAAGTACTAGACATTCTTGGACAGGACTATTTTTAAACAGCACTGAATTGTCACTGTTCATTTAGCTTTTTTTTTAATGTCATCAATTAATGTCCAGGTCATATTTCACCCCAAAACCCGTTTACACGACAATGGCGTTTTGGGTGCCTGAAGACACTGTTCTTCTGTTCGTTGTCTTGTGTTGAAGTTGCGTGTTTATCTGTATTGTTTCAGGTGTTTATTGAATGTGAGTTTATCATTATTCTGCATCAAGAATCTTTGTTTGGATTATCAAGTCAAGCCTGCATGTGACAAAAACAAAGATTCAATACAAAGTGCGTGCATGTAACGGGCAAAAAGCTCAATGAGAGTGCTCAACCACAAAATAAATTTGATCATGTGATGTAGTTCTGTGGTGTATATAAGGGCTTATCAGTGTATGTGTTCATTGTCTGATGAAGAGCCACTGGGCTCGAAACGTCACCTATGGTGAGAACATGAAATAAATATTTTTATATTTTTGGAGCTGTGGTGTGCCAACTTTTCCTTCCTTTTTTACAAAAACAAAACAAAAAAACTAAATATTAAAGATCCTGGTTTAGGACCATTATGATTTGTTTTTGCATTGTGACTTTATTTTAATTAAGCACATCAATTATAATTCATGTTATTTATCAAAATACATTTATTAAAACAATATAAAATCGTCACAAAATTTTTTAAAAAATAAACATAATATAACAAATAATCTATAAATACCTTACATTTAAATTATACAGTCACTTCAATAAGTATTTCGACACTTATCTGAACAAATGTTATTGCAATAGAAACATATCAAACCAAATGTCATATTATGCAAAAAATGACATTAGACCTTTTCAAGTTCACAGATGTCCCAACAGATGTTTGATAACCAGGAGGTGTCCAAATACATTTGTCTTAATTTTTAACAGTATATCTATTGTTTTATCGTTTAATTGTTTTTTTGCATTATGTGTCCATATTTCCTAGTTTGATCATTTAGTTCAACATTCAAACATTTTTAAGGATGGTTAAAGTGTCAAAATTCTTTTTGGTGCCACTGTATACCATCATTTTTTCACATTACCATGATGAGAATTTCTCTCGTTCTCCCCGTTTTAGCAACAGCCCCTGAGTGCCGCCCCATCCCAGTCGGTCCAGCCTTCTCCTCTGCCCAAACCAGTGTCATCGGTCCATCATGCCCAGCGGCCCACACACCCGTCCCTCGCGCCTCACACCCCTCACTCAGCCAGCTTACCCAGCTGCCCCGGCAGAGGAAAGATGGCCAAGTTCCTCAACCCCGATGAGATGACCTCCAGGGATTACTATTTTGACTCGTATGCACACTTCGGTATTCATGAGGTATGAGCACATTAGAGCAGTGGATGCTTGCATTTAACATAGATGCTGACACATATGATGTACTGTAGGATATAAGTACTCATGGTAATCAACATCAGTCATGTTGATTTATGCTGGGAGTTATATATAATGCAGAGTATGCAGAGAAATGGAGCAGGAGAGAGGGACGGGGTGGGGGTGTCATTGAATTATAGGATGAGTGCAGAGAACGGGAGGTTCAGGCGAGACCTGCAAGATTAATTTTGTTCAGACTCATTTTTAGTATATAGGTCAGATCTTTTTTCCCCTTCTCTCATCTAAGTGTGACAAGAGGCATACACCAAAAAAGCTGCATAGATCTGAGAAGACATGCTGTAATGGTGACAGCAAGTTTTTTACGTTCTCACAGGTTGTCAGAGATCCTTATTTTATGTTTTTACAATAAAGCTGAATAATAACCTTGGTAGTGAATGATTATGTATTACGGTCATATACCATAGTTTTATAGTACTCCAAAGTACTTCAAAAAATAATGTCCAAAAAACCAAGACAATACCGTGATGCTTTGTCGTAGGCATTACAATTCCCAAAATCGTCACCTATTGGCAGATTACTGTATTTAATTTTTATTGAATACTATTACTAACAACATAAAAGTTATTCTTACGTTTACTAAAAAACAGTAAAGATTTCTCAGCAAAAAGACACATGTGCCACGATCTGAAGGGCACATTTTTAAAAAGGTCTATATATATATCTTGTAATCAAATGTGATACAGTAGGCTTTATGGGTTAAACATCATTAAAACTATTGAATACTTTTTTTTTTGCCTGTGTTTCAAATCCGGGTGAGATAGCTTATTGTATCTAACTAGACAGCATTCATGGGCCCAAACCCTTTCTAAAACAGGCCGTTACAAGGTGTAATGGTGCATCAAATCAAAAGATATTTCTATTATATATACCATTGTATTTAAGCGGCACACAAAGGAACAACAAACCATGGTACCGTGCCCAAACAACCATGATTGTCCTATGGTACTTTTCTGTTGTTTAAAAAACTTTTCTACTTTTCTATTTTTTGTACTTTTCAAACGTTGTCTAGGTAGTCAGCTCACCAGAATTTGAAACACAATTTTGTTACAAAGTAGTAAAACGTTTTTTTTGTGCATGCATGGATGTACAGGAAATGCTAAAGGATGAAGTGAGGACGATGACATACAGAAACTCTATGTACCATAACAAACACATCTTCAAGGACAAGATCGTGTTGGACGTGGGGAGTGGTACTGGCATCCTCTCCATGTTTGCTGCCAAGGCCGGAGCCAAGCACGTGTATGGGGTAAGAGGGCGGCCCTCCTTATGCCTAAAACCACATGAGCCTGTAGCCTCCTACCCTGCTGGAATGATCCACAGAGCCCAAAATAGCATCATGTGTTGCAGTCGCACCAAGAGCTTTTGAAGGTGTATGCGAATAATCCTCTTTTTTTAGAGAGATATGATCATATATTACCACCAACTTATTTCCTAATAAGGATCATAAATATAAGTTCAAAACAGAAGAAAACGTATGTTTAAAGCCATGACAAACAAATGAATTTATAGCGGCTACTCAATCCAATGATGATACCGCTGAGAGACTAAGCACTTGTGACGCATAAACAAAACATCGATGAGGCAAATTATCTTTTACTAGCAATTCTTTATTGCTGGCTGATGTTTCTTGATAGTACAAAGTTTAGTGGTCAACAAAGAATACATCGCCCCTGCTCACCCCCTCTCACCTAACTTAATCAGTGAACAGGTGACTAATATTCACATTCCCACGTAATCCCGTGACCCGCCACCAGGATCACGTGACAATCAAAACATTAACTCTTTCATGTCTACTACAGAATTGTTTGTTAAAAATGATTGCATTTTAACACAAATATATATGTATATACACCTTATCACTAATTAATCATTCAATATTTATTATATATCAGCCAATATTTTATTTATATATCAATATTTATACCATACTTCATGTACTTGCTTCAAAGCAGCTTTACAGTAAAAATAAGTATCAATAGTTTAATTATAGATTTAATTAGGCTTTAAAAAATAATTTAGTAACACTGTTAAATGTCCTTTTAAAAATGAATATTAAATATATTGAATATTATATATTTTTTTTCATAATGAACATTATGTTGTGATGCCAAATTCAGCATTCTAGAATACAAATACACACAGCAAGACTTGTGACAGAATAGTTTGATGAACATGAAAGTGAAGTTGAACATTGCTCATGGCCTGCGCAGTCACCAGATCTAAATATTTTAGAGCCACTTTGGGGAATTTCGGAGGAGCAAGTCAGAAACCGTTTTCCTCCACCAGCATCAGATAGTGACCTGCCCACTGTTCTGGAAGAGGAATGGCTCAAAATCCCTCTGTGCAGGACTGGTATCTGTGATTCGCAAGAATTAAATCAACATTGAACTACCATGTGATAGCATCACTATAGCATGACACCACCATAGTACTTTTTTTTATAAGGGTCCCCTTCTGTTTTTCTTTCTTGCAATTCCCCTATTTGATTCCATTTCGCTTCCTCACTTCCTGACCATTCAGACCTCTCCCCCTTAATGCATTCCTCCCCAGTGGATAGTGAAGGTTTTTAGCGGGCAGCCTTTATTGGCCGTGCTGATGTATCAGGCTCTAACACACTACATTGTGAGGATGTGGTAATTGGCTCTTCGGATATATCTGAGAAAAAGGCACACCAAAGAAATAAGTAAAGGTCAGAAGGGCCACATTAACCATGTGGTGCTTGTTTGGCACTTTCTCTTTGAGAACTAAAGCCAGAGCTTGTTAAGCCAAGTTAGAGTATGAACGGAGAGAAAAAACTCGATTTTATGTGTCCTGCCATCCTCTTGGGACAGAATGTTCAAGAGCAGTTTTTAGAAGAGAACGAAACTACCTCGGGAAGCCTAGCCATGTGTTGGTGTCTGTCTTGAGTCGCGGTCTCTGCTGTAATTGAGCTGATGTGATTTGCACCTCGCTGCTCTTATCCAGTTGCACTGTGATAATGAACAATTCTCTGAATGGCTTCATCATATTCATCCAATGCCAGAGAGCGCATACTCTCCTCAGTGTCTATGTTACAGTGCTCATTGCAAACGAAAAACACTTGCTCAATGCAGAATATAAACTAGATTTTTACATTTTGCTTTCCTGTGCAAAATTGGCTGCCACACTAGGGTATTCTGCATGGTATTTTGATATTGATATCCACCTTATTTTTAATGTAGGAGCAGCTGTGGCCATTATTAGCCATTTTTGCTTTCGGTGTCAGCTGAATTTTGTAGCAACACACACTTTCATAGCACAAATGGTTTTACAGTTTACTGTACTTTTGTTATTCTTCTTGATTCTTAATGAATCAAAAGTCTTACAAATTCAAATGCCTTGATTTTTTTAGGTGCATTAAAAAAAGATGAAAGATGAATATATTGTTCTTGTCCCTGCTTCATTGTAAGTTTATAGGATTTTTTTTTTGTTGCCCATTTTACTGTCTGCCAGGCAAAAATTATACATAGCCACAGCTTAAATGAAAGTAACACTATGTAGTTTTTCAACCTTTATAATATATTTACAAGACTCTTGTGATGGTGCATCGACTTACAATAGGTTAAATGACACGTCTGCCATAGCCTGACGTGGTCTGTAGCGCTTTTACTTGCACTATGTAACTAACTTCGAGTTTCGGGTAGTAAACGGAACACAAAAAGAACTACAAAATTCGACTGCTTTACGGCATACGTCACTTCGCCCACCACTTCCTCAAATTGTCTGTGGCCATTGTTGATTCCAAAGCCGGTGCTGGATAAACAGCGAGCGTGCGCGTGCGACAGTAGGCTGCGGTAGGCTAAATTATTTACGACAGCGGTAATGGACAATTCCACTTCCAACCTGTAGGGCGACCGCAGAGGAAAAGTTCCTTGGTGTTGCTTTAAATGAAGCAGAATGAGTTACACACCAAAGTGTAAAGAACAAACTGTGTTTGGACAATTAGTGCCTAATCAAACCCTAAAAAAATAATAACTTATATATAAATCTTAAACTTCACACACACATATGCTATGCAGCCTCTAGATTAAATATTTCAGACCCTCATTTTCTCGGTTGTCACCTACGGTTACGAAAGCTGGACAATCCGGAAGTAAGATCGAAGGAAGATTGACTCATTCGAAATATGGTGCTGGAGAAAAATCCTGCGTGAGCCATGGACAGCGAAGTCAATCATAGAGGAAATCAAACCGGAAATGCCACTCGAAGCACAAATTATGAAACTGTGTTTGTCATACTTTGGTCACATGGTTCGAAGGGAAAGATCACTGGAAAAGTATATCACAATTTAAGGGTACAAGGTGCAGAGGAAGACCGCCAATGATATGGATCGATATGATAACAAAAACGACAAGACGGACGTTGGAGGATCTCATCAGACTAGCACAAAACCCGAATCCTTTTCAATTCTTTAGTCAATCAAGTCACCAAGACTCAAATTTGAGCTGATGGGACATAACAACAACAAGATTTTAAGCTGAGTAGTTTATTGTTTTGCACTTATCATCTGTTGTTCATGTGACTAATATTAAATATAGTATATATATATTTTTTAAATAGTGCATGGATATTAGATATTTGATACTAGATATTAATTTGCTTTGATATTGAAGAAAAATGAGATAACTTGATAAATAATGTGATATTCAATACAATAATGCTATAAGTTTCTAAAATCAATTTAAATTCAATTAAAATATATATTAAAAAAAATGAAAAATATATGACCAACATATCTGTTTCACATTATTTCAGGGAAAATCATCATCAACTTTTATTTACCAGACTCTTGGTCCATTCAGAAGGCACAGACATAACATGCAACATACACAAAAATGGATACATATACAAAGAGATAAAAAGATACAAAAAGATAAAAGAAAAAACTACAATACGGCATTTCTATAAAAGACACTTATACCAGCCTTTCCATAGTGATGATTGGTATCGTATGGCACTAAACCTAGGATTTACTAGCAGCATAAAAATGCTGTTCTGGGAGTCATTCAGGCGACAAATGAATTTGTAGATGAGTCTCCTCAGTAATGCCTGAAAGGTGCTGACCCCTGCATTACAAAACAGGTCACTTGCACTAGAGCACCTGGGTTTGTTGAGCAGTTTCCTCATACAGTCGTTATAAGCAACCTTAAGCTTCTGCATACTAGCCTTTTTAAATTTAGTCCATAAAGGAGCAGTATACAAAGGAGTGCAATATGCCTTAAACAGGCTAATTTTGACGTCATCCGTGCACCTGTGGAATTTTCTTTCCAGCATGTTAGCTTGGGCATATAATATGCGACGCTGCCTATATAAATCCTCATCATCAGATAACTGATCTGTAATGTTATGACCCAGGTATTTAATTTTATTACAAACACTCATCACTTGTCCTGACAGATAAAAGTCTGGAAAACAAAGATCTTTGTTCACTTTTGTCCTACACATCAATACAGCACTCTTTTTGGCATTATATAACACTTGAAATTTCACCCCATATTCAGAGCAGATATTCAGTAGCTGCTGAAAACCAGCACTGCTGGGAGAGAAAATGGCCAAATCATCAGCATACATAAAATGATTAACCAAGGTGTTACCAATTATACAACCTGTTTTGCATCTTGATAATTGGTTGGAAGCCTAGTTCACACTACAAGATTTTAAGCCTGCAAATCGTTGAGCTTCAAGCTCACGTGATGTCATGAGCTACAGCCAATCAGAGCAAGGCATGTTCGCGTGTTGTGTTCTTCTTCGTCTTCTTCGCCATAGATATCATATACGGTAATAAAGGCTAGATGTCTTACGGCGGAGTCACTTCCGGCATCACCGTTCGGCCATCTTGTCACAGGCAGGCTCTGATGTAAGGTGAGTGATCAGCATGAACACAAATCCTCTTATCTCGCTGAAATCTTGACGGATTTACAAACGGTTTGGTTTCTTACAAACGTTATTAACATGGCTATAATTCTGAATGCTTGAACATATATGTTATAATTATTCATATGTATGCAGTGTCATAACTACATCTCTGACGTTTATAACAAACCAAACCGTTTGAAAATCGGTAGAAAATTGAGCAAGTTATGGTTATTTAAAAGTACATGCACCATTAAAACACAATGTTGCGAGTGAGCGAGCTGCCTGTGACAAGATGGCCGCCACGTGCGGATGTCGACCTCCATTGGCCAGCAGCGCGGACGAGACATCTAGCATTTATTATATGATATCTAT